CCTTGGAGAAAGACATCATGCTTGGGAGAGTGGAGGGACAGCACAGGAGGGGAAGGCCCTCTATGAGATGGATTGATTCAGTGACTGGGATAATCGGGATGGGAGTGTCAGAGACAGTGCAATTGGCACAGGCTGTTGTACATAGGGTCGTTATGAGTCGCAAGCGACTCGACGGAACATAATAACAACAACAACAATAACAATAACAATAACAATCTGTAGGTAACTTCTCAAACTAGAATTCTCGGATCCAGAACTCTCACCCTTAGCGGCTCTGTCTGAGCCGCTTTTCCACTCAGATGGCAACAATTCTCCCCTCAGAATCTGTCTGTTGAATGGACTGAGAACGAAGGTGCAGGCCAACACGAATAACAAATCCATTCCATCACCTCTTTAAACCATCGGTGACATCCCAGAGGCCAGTATCTGCCTGGGCTGAGTGTGTCACCAAAGTCAGTGCTTTCTCAGGAAAAAGATGGACAGTCTCCTTCCGTTACGAGGTACAGCCTCCGAAGGGGGAGAGAGGACCACTGTGTGTCAGCGCCAGAAATGCCTGACAGCTGTGAGTTGGAAGTTTGAATATGCCAAAAAACTGAGCCCTAGCAGCCTAGTGCATTTCGTGTTGTTTAACTAAACCCCAAAGTGGGCTATTCAAACCCACCACACCCTCTGAGGAAGAAAGATGAACTGCCTCTTCCCTCCTCCTGCTAAGATTTACAGTCTTGGAAACTCAGTGAAAGTCACTATGAATCGAGAACCGAATTAATCTGCAGAGTTTTTTAAAATTTCTGTAATAAGCCAATGTTTACAGCTAAAATGGTTGTTGTTGTTATGTGTCATAAAGGCGAAAAGGACTCAAAGCGACCCTTTGCACAACAGCTCTGACCCCTGCTCTATCCTGAGCCAATCTCACTGTCTCTGACACACCCATCCTCATGACCCATTATTGTCTCTATCAGTCCATCTCATCCAGGGTCCTGATGTCCTTCTCTAAGGACTGGTCCCTCCAGGCAATATGCCCAAAGAATTTGAGACAGAGTTTCAAAATCCTTGCCTCCAAGGAGCAGCTTGGTCCACCCTTTCCAGGACAGACCTGTTCGTTTTCTTGGCAGTCCATGGTATGTTCAAGACTCTTCTCCAGCACCACATCTCAAAGGCAACACCCAAACACAGGCAGTTCAAATCCTCTAACCGCTCCACGGCAGAAACAGGAGCTATCTTCTCTGGGCTGATTTACAGCCCTGAAAACCTGCTGGAGGGTCAGCTGTGAGTCACTTCTGACACAAAGGCAATGACTGAATGAACGATGTCTTAAAGAATCAAAGACTTGAAGCTGTTCCACAAAAACAGGTGCCCTTTATTTCAATAACTAAAATATTCCAAAGTGTTGGCCCTGCTGAACTAGAAAGCAGGGAATGTACATTTCAACAGCTGGAATCAGATGACATTTTCAGGGCAAATCAAACATTTCATTCCTTGCAGGCCCACATGCTGAAAAGTCCAGAACGGCAGCCGAGTGTGTGACCTCATGTTGTGATTTTTCTGAATGAATTCACGCAAATCGTTGCTGTTGGGATGGAGCCCATTCCTAGCTTTTCATCCAGTGAATTTTTAGGAGACTGTAAATTGAATGGGAAGTGATTACCCATCCTTCACCCACAGAGCTACTGGTGAATTCAAATCACCAGAGAAGCGGCCTTTGTGTTAGCAGCAGAACTCCCCAAGGACTAGGGCTGACAGCTCTCTTTCTGAATTAAGGCAAGTATAAAAATCCACTTGTAACAGCATGACCTAGTAAGATTCTCCTTCTGCTTTAGGGCTGCTGGGATCAACCTTTTGATTAATTATTACTAGTTAATGAACAGTTGTTATTGTTACATGCCCTCAAGTTGTGTAAGACTCGCAGTGACCCTATGCTATGAGGCTGTTAACTCAGATGCGGGGAGTTCAGGTTTGCTCCCAAGGGACCTCAAAGCAAAGCTTGGCCACTGGCTTCTAAAAACCCTACAGATGACTACAAGAACATGGAAATAGCCCAAATTCCCAGCCACAACGAAATGGACTGAGAAATTGTGGTCCATTCACATGAGGAACACTATGCAGCACCCAGGAGCAACGACTTAGAAAACAGCTACATAACTTGGGAGGCTCTGGAGGGCATTATGCTGTGTGAACTAACTCAGCCTCATCAGGACAAATACTACATAAGACTATTATTGTAAAATAGAAGGATAACTAGTAAAACATGTTTGGGGATCCAAGGGAGGACAGGGTGGGAGCAGAGGGGTGAGAACGGGCAGGGAGGAAATCACAGGGTCATGTAGTTGGGTGGGTGGAGGGAGGAGATAAAGGAAATGGGAAAGGTCTGGTGGGCATCTGGAAAGAGATAATATTAATAATATTAATATTAATAATAATTAATAGTGGGAATGGTTCAATGGTGATTAATGTTATGAAACATAATAAACGGGAATGATTGTGCAGAACACAATGTATATGAACTTTGTATGCTAACCAATGTTGTTGTTGTTTAATGCCGTCGAGTCGTAGACGACTCATAGCGACCCTATGAACGAACAGCCTGAGCACTGTTCGTACATAGAGTTTCCGGAGGCAAGCCATTTTGGAAGTGGATGCCACTCCTGCTTACCAATAGAGCATAAAAATGAAGAAAAACCCAAACCCAACCAACCTGTGGCTGAAAAGCCCATATGAAACACAGTTCTACTCTGACACCCGGGGCACTATGAGTTGGAATGAACTCTATGGCAACTGGGAAGATGAATTAACAATTATTAATGCACGTCACTCCTGATTAACCTTTGGTTAATGAGTCAGTAGAGACTAGAAGGAACAGAGCCACAGAAAATTCACTTCGAACCAGCACTGGGAAGAACGAGGTTGCTGGGAAGTGGCTGTGGCCGGTGAGCATGCTGAGGGTCTCGGTTCAAGACCCCAGGAGCAGTATCAGGAAGGGGCTGACACAGACTGCCCACTATCTAGGGGGTAAACAGCCAGGCCGACTTCAGCTGCACACAGACTACCTGTCCATCAAGTGTTTCTTGCTGATGGTGGTTTTCTTGCTGGAGACAAGGGCATTTGCTTAACACGAGAAAAGGACCCATGGCCAGCTCCTGGGCTCCTGCATTAAACTGGAGAAAAGCACCACCACCAAAGGCCACACATGCAAAAGGCGGCAGGTGTCGCTGGGGACACACAGCTCTGGGGGAGCAGTGGTTAAGTGCTCGGCTCCTCTCTGCAGGGTTAGTAGTTCAAAACCACCAGCGGCTCCTTGGTAGCAGATTTGGCAGTCTGCTCCTGGAACCATTTACTCCTTGGAAACCTTCTGGGAAGTTCGACTCAGTCTTAGAGGGTCTCAAATCAGAAGTGACTCAACAGCAGTGGATTTGGTTTTGGGATATGGCATGTTGAACTGTTAAAGGAAAGGTTGGCAGTTCGAATCCACCAAGTGCTCCGTGGAAGAAAGATGGACAGTTTCCTCCTGTAGAAGCACACGGCCTCAGCAAGCAGGTGGAGGGCTGGATGAGTCAGAAAGGACCTGATTCTGAGCCCTGACGATGTATTTATGCAGCTGGTTCCAAAGCCTGGGGAACAACTGCTCAACACCCTTCAGAAAGCCTCCTCTAGCAAGGAGTACACAGCCCAGCAGCTTGCCAGGCTTGCTTAACAAGAGAGGAGCTTTGGAGAACCCCAAGGCAGAAGAGGCACAGTTATTTCACTTCCAAATCTCCTTCCTTTCACAGTGACCTCGGAGGGAGGGCCTCACAAATGCAGGGAGATCCCCTAAAAGGATTAACATTTTCTCCTGTACTCCAGCCACTGGGCATCGTCTCTCCTGAAGGCTGGGAAGCACTGCATGAGGCTGTCACTTCAGCTTGGTGGACAGCGCTGACCAAAGCTCTCTCTATACACTCACCCAGGACCGCTCTCTCTTCAGAGCTGGGCTATGCCTTCAAGACCTGCTTCTCTTCTCTCTCCTTCCCTCCCACCGTGGCCATTCCAGGGCGTTACTGATTTACCAGGAACCAGACTTTCCTCTGAAGAAGACTGTGGCATAGAAGTCTGACTCGGAGGAGTCCATTAACTCTACAAAGGCTTTTTTTTCTGGGGCGGGGAAGAGACACAAGTGGACACCAGGAGAAGGAACAGGCAATCATAATGTTCTCATTGGAAAGCAGGAGCTGGAAAGGTTAGGTAGGGTTGGGGGAAAGGTGTATCCCCCACCTCTGGGTTCCACAAATCCAGCCCTTTTTTCAGAGTGGACATAAGTCCAGAAAAGGAGTGGCAACCCTCACCTACAGGGTGTCCCCCAATTGGGTGAACTCCCATAGGAAGGCAGGATGGTGACAACCCTAAATCAGTGCACCCCAAAACCCAAACTCGATAACAGAACCCTGGAGAAACTCAGACCCTAAGTATGATTTAATGGGACATCTCAACAATGTTTCTACCCGCAGCAAGTCCAGCGACCCATCAGGACTGAACCTTCCAAAAATACACCCTGGTTTAAAAACAAGCCAGGATGACTTAAAATTTATTTCCAATCAAAGACAACGGGGAGAGGAGGAGGGCTCGCAGGAAGAGCGCTGTCTCCGCAGATGAGCAGATCGGGGAGGGGGCTCCCTGTGCCCTCCTCACCCCTAAATTCAGGGACACGCTGGCCGGCTTTGAGGGGGTTAGCCGTGAGCTCTGCGGGCGCCCATAGATGGGAACGCACTTTTGCAGGTTGGGCCCTGGCAGCATCCCCCTCTGCCTCTCCTGGCCCGGCCAGCCCTGAGCCAAAGTGCCTTGCTGGCCCTGCCAATCCCACGGAGGTCCACCGTCTCCGCTTTCGTAGGAGCTGCTCGGTTTAGGGGGGAAAGGGAGCAGACAGGGCTTTAAAATTAAAGCATGCCGCCTTCCAGACATTTTGAGAACGTGTTCACAGCATTTCCAAAAGGGAGTCCCTGAGATCTTAGGTCTGATCCCCAGCTCCTCACGTTCTGGGAATAACGCGGGTGAGGGGTCAAAGCCAAGGCCGAGGGGCGCCGACGCGAGGACGATCCTGGAGCGGCCCCGGTGCCCCCGTGGTGCGCGCATCCCCGGCTCAGCCCGGC